AAATGTAAGTACAATATTTATATTCCAGTTGATTTATTTTATAATTATTTGGTAAAAATGAGAAAGTAAGCAAATTTTCAATAATAGTATGCTGTGACACTTTTGTATTTTTATGTCTGATTTTGTAAGTCATTTTTAAGTGAGGCTAACTTGGGGGTACACAAGACGATTCATGTTCCTGAAAGGAGTGTGGTAGTTTGGAAAGATCGAGAGCCACTGTCATAGATAAGCCAACCTAATCCCCGGTGTAACCGCTGCTAGGGAGGTGGTGTTCCTACAGCAACAGAAATACCCCTTCCATTGCTATAGGTGCATGTACACTGTAGGGTTATGCTGGCATAGCTATGGTGGAAATATGGCAGAACTTCACACTGATTCTTGCAGCACCCAAGTCATCAGTTCATGCTACAACTGTTGGCTCAGCTGCAGTAAAGTACAAAATGTTGTGGTCCTTTAGTAGCTAAAAAGTGAATTAATTAACATCTTTGTAGAAATGCTCGGCTACTGTCAGTGTGGGTTAAATCTGGATTTTAACAAAAGTAAATATGTTGATATGTTTTATATAATATTACAGATGTTAGTATTTTGCTTTTTAGTTGTCATCTATTCATTCCATTATAAGATTTACAGCTGCAGGCTTCCACAACATATGATAGCACAGAATCAATCGCTCTCGATGTAGTGAAGTGTCTGTGACTTTGACTGGTAGACTGTTTATTTCTTACTGAACCTCAAGGTGTAAGGACAGGTTTCAGAGTAACAGCCGTGTTAGTCAGTATTCGCAAAAAGAAAAGGAGTACTTGTGGCACCTTAGAGACTAACCAATTTATTTGAGCATGAGCTTTCGTGAGCTTTCATCCGATGAAGTGAGCTGTAGCTCACGAAAGCTCATGCTCAAATAAATTGGTTAGTCTCTAAGGTGCCACAAGTACTCCTTTTCTTAAGGTGTAAGGAGCTATGTTTTAACAGCACCCAGTAGATGGGGCTACAGTACAGGCTCAGACACTTATTTTACACGAATCACTTCCTTAGGCCATCAGAACTACTCGTATATGAAAACACATTGTAGAAAGTGGTCTCCTTTCCTCAGTCTAATAAACAGCTTGATTGGGACTACTTGGATATCACACAATTTCTCAGCCAAGACTAAAACACTAAGGTGTATACACACACTCACCCACGGGCCCTTTACCTTTTGTATGCAAAGTACTCTGCAATTTACTGCAGGGTTATATCTCATTTATTAGAGGGTTTGTTTTTTTTTTAACCTTCCCAATATAAAAACCATGAGTGCTCACTAGAGCTGTCTGTCTTAAGGAAGATGTAGGAAAATGACAAATTGCATTCCTCCTATCTTACTGCAGTTCCAACAGCAAAGCTGTCCTTATGGCCCCTTTTTTATTTTTTTGACACATCTATCTTACAGCAAGTATTCCTAAAACAGCTCCCTCTCACTTAGGCAGGATCTCATGCCAGGTACATTGAGAAGGCACTTTCAAGTGTAACATCCCTGCTTACATTGGACATCCTTACTCTTATCTATCTGCTGAATGCCCCAAAGACTAGATGACATGACACTGGCATGATTTTTGGATTTGTTAACTTCTAAAAGCACTACTAGTGGAAATGAGAACAGGAAGCATCTTCATCAGAGCTATGAGTTAAGGCAGGCAGCAGTGTACTTTTAGATCAACTAAGAAAGCAGCCCCATATTTTGTGAGACCCAAGTCTCCATTATGGGCCTACTTGTGTTATACCTTACGTTCTTTCCCTTGTCTTGTTCTGTTAATTCTTTACAAGAGCAGATTTCACAATTTCCTTTTCAGCCTTCCATTATTACCATTCTTTCCTTGGGAATGCATTTTTCTGATGAATCAAGCCTGTTAGAAAAATGAAAATGGTACCAATTTTGTTAAAAGGGTAAAAATTGTTCTGATAATAGAAAATGTCAAGTATGGCAAAAATCAACTGATGAAAGTAAAATGCTACAGCTTTCATGTAAAATTGCAGGCTACCAAACACAAGAAGGAAAACAAACCTATTAAATAATTAATGGAAAAATATGCTTATTTCTGAACTATAGATGGAGAGGACCTCTTTTCCCTGGGGAAACTAATGCTACCATTAACTTCAGGGGTTATTAAGGAGAGGTGATAGCCATACAACCATCATTAAAAAGCCAGGAACTTCAGAGTTAAGATTAACCTTGTAAGTAACCCATGGAAAGTATGGAAATTAACAATTAAGGTAAGTTGTCCACACCATCTTAACTCTGCCCTGATTTACAATATTTGGTGTTTTTCTTAAAACCCCAGTTCCTGAAGTAGCTCACTTTATTGCTGTAAGACTCAGTGGAAGGGAATGCAAAACAAAAAACACCCCAAGCTATTCTGTTAGTTACCTGAAGCAAGCAGGGTAAGTATCCTTAATAATGAGATTCATTAAAGCAATGCGCCTGAGAAGAAAGTGTGGGGACATAAATAACTAAAGAGACTCTCCAGCTGAAAAGAGCGCTGCTGTGTTTTCACCGTTCAGTGATGCACATGCCAATTCTTCTGATTCAGCAGACCTAATCACCACCACCACACACATATTTAATCAGGGAATGTTATAGGAGCACTCCTGGCATAGTCACTAACCCATGAAGTTGGAACAAGAAAAATCCTTATTAAAATTATATAAGAATGGCATAAAGGACACAAACTGCTGAAGGTAAAGTCAGGAAGTACTTGGAACAACTTTGCTGAGGGTGGGGAAAGGGGAAAAGGTGGCTTTAAGTCAATTCTTTCAATTTTGCAACAGGCCAGTCCCCTGCCACAAGTCAGAGCAGATTTTGGATTTGTGGCACATCTCGCTATGTGCAGCTCTTACCCATTAAACACGCATTGATTTTTTTCTGTGTACAGCAGAATAAAATACACGGTCATGAGCAAACTTCATTATGCAAAGAAATGGTAACTTCCCTATTATTTACTGTTTAGCCCAAGTCTAATGCAAAATTGGTCCAGGAGGTCTGACCTGTTACCATTTCAAAGCTACTCCTCTCCCCGCATCCTTCTAAGCCTCTATATAGGACACCAAAAATATTTTATACTTTTATATTACAGGATACTATTGTTACAACTGGGCAGGTATAAAAATGGCCATCTTATTTTTCATTTTCAGCAAATAATGGCTACTGTAACAATAGTGTTTACCAGCTACCTGCTGCTGAAGTGCTTACACTGCTCTATAACAACTTTAAAAATACAACACAGAAATAATAGAAGTCAAACATTTAGACAACAAAAGCAAACAACCATTGTCCATGCCTTCCCTCTCTCAGCATGCAGCAGCAGGAGAGAGTGATTACTTGTGAGACATGAACTTAAAAGTAATGACTGCAGCTGATAGCTTGTAACTTCTCTTTAACTTCTTATAACCAGTAACCACTTAAGCTTCCAAACAAAACATTTTATAAGCACAAGTCATCCCCCTTCCCTTCTTACTTTGGGCCTAGTTTAAGGGCCATCAAAGTCAATAGAGAGACTTCCCTGGAATTTGGATCAGATCTTTTATGAAGCCACTAAGAATACTGATTTTCACATATGCTTTCATTACATTTTACTTTTGGAGAAAAAGGATGGCCCAGTGGTTACTGCACTGGCCTCAGCTTTAGGAGATATAGGTTCAAATCCCTACTCTACTACAGATTGCTTGTGTGAGTATGGGCAAGTCACTTAGCCTCTCTCTACCTCAGGTCTCTGTATGTAACTGGGATAATAGCATTTCCCTGTGGCACAGGACAAATGCATTAAAGATTATGGGTTGGGGGCCATACAATACTTAAGATGGAGTTCCTGCTGCCCCTCTTTATGCTACTTTAGCTCCCAATGAGCTGTCTGCCTCCAGTGCTTTCTTTCTCTTACTGCAGTGATTAAATTGTCAGCCAGGCTATGCCTCAGCCTGGAATGCATCCATTTTCCCCTTCCTGCTTGTGAAGTGAAGCTGATGCTAATGATCCCAAAACAAATGCACCTGGCAGATCTGCCCTATAGCCTTGCATGCTATGTTGTTGTACACAACTCCCTGGCCCCTTCTGGCAGCTGTTCTAGTTGTTTACTTGGTGTAATGACCACCATCTAAGGCTTCTTCTCCTTATTTGGTGTGGGGAACTGCTGTAGTGAGTTTCTGACCAATTTGCTAACACTAGTTTCTCACAGAGTCAGTGAAAAAGAATTTAACCACACAAAGCCTTAACACAACCACAAGGAAGCCTCCCCTTCCTTCACACTTTGTCCTGGGCTGGGAGGCAAGGTGGGTGTATATGGGAATGATTCAGGCTTTGAAAGAATGAGTTAAATGTCCTATATATCAGAATTCCCAGACCCTCCTCAGCGAATGTGGTGTTCCTGAAGGATTCCCGGTCAAAGGGATCTTACTGAGCTCATGTGCTGCTTCAAGGCCTGGCTGCTACAGTATTTTGTATCAAAGTCTGGAACTGAGCAAGATTAACCAGATGGGAGGGTAAGTGATGGCACAGTGAATGTAGCTGCTACCGTAGCTCAAGGGCTGTAGTAACAGCTGCAGAGTTGCTACACGGGTGCTTCACTGCCTGGGGAGATCATTTCAGGCTACAGTGCAGACCGCTTGTGCAAGGTCTATTTACTTGGGCTTTGGCTTGGGATCCAGAGTTTGGCCTCTTCATGCCAAAACGGCAACTGACTGTATCACGCAGAAAATATCATGACACCTTGACAGCTAAGACAGATTCAGTTATGTTTTTTATATACTGAAATGTCCTTGTAGATTGCCCTAGTTTAAAAACACTTCATGCAACTATAAGAATCTTCCAGTTTAAGGCAATGAAATAAAAGAGACATTAGTCAGAGGGAACATGGAATATTTCCATGTGGGGGAAGATTTCACTGAACATAACCACTGACTTTCTTACTTAAAACCAAAAAGTATTTTTAAACTTTTTATTTTAGGAAATTAGTGAGAAGAGGTGCACTAAAATAGTCAATTACAAACAAAAATTAATTCAGCTTTTTCACAGAGTTTACAATAACATAACCTGCAGTTAACTGATTAGCACAATCAGAGAGAAGGTGATTTAAGAGATTGTGTTTATTGTTCTACACCTTTCATTAAAAAATGCACTACAGTAGCTTAGGTAAAGGATAACCTGCACTGTGGATAATGGATTTCCCTACACTAATTTACAGAGTGATAATTATGTTCTGAAGTGCAGCTTCTCCAGACGCACTGTTCAGGTGCGCAGTGCCACTTGAATTTGGTATGGTTTAGGTTTCATGAATAATCCATACACTGGGGTCAAATCTAGGTGGTCTTGAAGGCATTTCTCAAGCTTCAGCTGTTGCAAAATGGTGGTGAGAATAAGAAAAATCTCATTACAAGCTATGTCTTCTCCTAAACACTTTCTTATTCCCATTCCAAAACCCAAAACTTTTTCAATGAGGCTTTTGTCGAGTTCACCGTTTTCATTCAGAAATCTCTCTGGTCTAAACAAATCGGCATTTTCCATTAATGTTCTATGGCAAAAAGAAATTAATTTTTAGAAGCCCTTACAGAGTATCACATGTACAGAAAACAAAGACAGAAATACAGAGCTTGTACTTCTAAGTGAATGAATTTGCTTATGGCCAACCAGAGCATCTGAGTTCTTGAATAAGTCAAAATGAAATTTGCATTGTTTTTCTCAAAAATGCCCAGGATTATGTAAAGAGATCATGAAATGGAATTTTGTTTCGTCACTCATGACTCAACTGTACTCCCTTGATCCATGCATGGACTAGATTCTAAAGAGGGCTGTCCAATGGGTAAACCTTGAGAGTAGTGAACAGTGCTGGAGGGACGCATGCTATATCTGCCTGCACCCTTTAGAGACTGCAGTGGAAAAGTAACAGCCCAATGCAGAGGCACAGAACCTCCAAATGGGTGGTCCTGGTTACCTGAAGATCACAATGTGGGGATCCCTGCTTCACTGACAGAACAAATTGGAAGGAAACTGCACAAAGAGAACCTGGCAGAGATGTTCCCTCCCTCAGATAATGATTAACAAATGGAGCCTGCCTCTGCTCTCACTGATGCCAGCATAAAGGAGGAGAAAGTCCAGTAAAATCAGCAGGATTACAGTGGGGTAAATTCTGTTTCAGTGAGATCAGATTCAGGGCCATAGCAGGTAAAGCATGAAGTGGATCAGACCTCCTGCTTATTTAGCTGGTGAAAACCAGTCCTAAAGCTAGTTTAACTCTGCATTTGGGTACTCCCTAGGTAGAATAGAGGCACCGCAGGGACAGGGATGGGTGTGGCTAGGATGTCCCTGTGCCCCAATGATTCCCAGCTGCTGGACTGACTCCTTAGGCCATAGATAGCTGGTGTGAAACAGAGCAGCCTTGAGTTGTGCCAGTGCCCAGCCAAATAGCCCCAGGATTAGAGGCATGTATCAGTGGCCAAAACCCACCCTACCATCCCGCACTCAGGTGCACTGAGAACTCTTTAGCCTCGGCTGAGGATTTAGACTCTACCTTTATAAGAATAAGAAAAAACATGGGCAGTTGCACTATCTAGGCTAAAATTACTACAGTTATCAGGCTTTGTTTGACAGCTGGAGTCTGGAAATAATCACCCAATACTATACATTGATAAGGTGCATTTTGGGGCTTTTCCAGGGAGAATCTGGTATTGGCCACTGTTGACAGGATACTGTGCTAGATGGCCCAAAGATCTGTTTCCAAATGGCTGCTTCTGTTCCAATCATCTTCACAAACTGTTCTGAGGAGAATGAGAACTGCATTATCCTTGTATAGATATAAAATAGTAATGTACAATGTATGCAGTGTGTCCAAGGGAACACAAGTTATCATTTTATAAACATAGTGAAAATACTGACTATAATAAAGTGCCAAATGCCATTATGAAACATATAAACAAAATTGGCGGATACTTACTCATCATGATTTACTTGATACATATTAACAAAGATACAGGTGTCTTGGGGAATGAGGTACCCATTGAGAATAGTTTCTTTCATCGCACTAGAAAAGGAAAATGTATCATATCAACATATGCTGATTATCTGAACATTCAGGGAACAAAATAATAATCCTTTTTCTTATCCCTATGCTTACATCTAATGAGTTTGATGATCGTACTTTGTGTTACTGAATGTTAGACCATGTCACAAGGCAGCAGGCTTGATCCCCTTCATCTACGACAGCAAACTGTTCCTGCAAACCAAAGGCCTAATCTGATTTCACACCTATTGACACTGGTGTAACACAACTGACTTGAGTTACTCTTGATGTACACTGGTATAAATGAGATCAGAATCAGGCCCTTAATGTCTATGGTATAACATGAAGACAGCTGGTGTAAATAGGTGCAGTTCTATTTTACTTCCATGGAGCTCCATGAATTGACACCAGCTGAGTATCTGGTGTTCATTTTAAGCTATGCCTGATGTACTGTCATAACAGTATTAGAATTCCTTAATTTCCTTCACGTATTTCACCTTGCCTGTAGTGGAAAAATAGACAAATTGAGATTTCAATCTCAAATTCAGAAAGAAAGCCTGATAATTATTTCTACAACTCATTTTATTTAGACAGAAATAAACTTTTGTGTTTTGCTTCTTACCAGTGAGGAATGGTAAATGGTATAAATGAAGTGTGCCTTAAGATTTCACTTATGAAAGCTTCCATATAATGCAAATCTTTCCTGTCATCAAATCTTGGTGACCTGAGTCCAATCTTTCCATCTTCAAAGAAAAAAAATTGGAATGTTTAATGTGCTTCATGAAAATGACAGGGGGCTTCATTTTTTGAAAAGGTAAATACTTTACCAATTTCTTCTTGAATTTTTGTCTGAATGTCTGGGTTGTTTACCAAATATAGGAAGATCCAAAATAGACATGTTGATACTGTATCAAACCCTGCAAAATAAATGGGTAACCAGAATGCTACTTTAATAAAAATAGGATTAAACACACACACACACACACACTCACGAAACATAAGACCTGATTCTCCTCTTATATTGGCCAGGGAGTCAATGACGTTGCATTGGTATAAAACTGATATACATGGGAGAAAAATCAGGCCCAGAATACATGCCTGTTGAAGTACACTGAAAATCTCCCAAAAGTGGTGTTTAAAAGGTTGGTTGGATTTTTTTTTTTTTAAATACCTACCAGCTCCAAAGATGTCATTCACAGTACTTATTATTTTATCATTAGAGAAGGGTGGAGCTCTTCCATCATTTCTTTTGTCATTGCTTATACTTATTAGAGCATCAGTAATGTCTCTGAGATGATTCTAAAAGGAAACAAAAATGACATATTTTCATCCACCATTTTTAACACAACATTCTGTAACCAGTAGTATTCTAACCTGAGATGCACAGAGCATGTATCTTCATGAATCTTGGAAATTCCTGCTAAAACTATTCTCGCAAGTACAGTTAATATTTTTTAAAATATTTGTCATGACACATGGCAATTTATCTTAGAAAAGAACTGACCTCTGTATATTTCTGCAGAAGAAAATTAAGCTACCAGTCAGTAGTAGCTCAAAAAAACATGGTCTAGGTTCTGCTCTCATTTACATTCTGTAACTCCAGAGTAATGCCATTCAATCAATAGAGTTACACTGTATTTACACTGGCATCAAAATCTGACACCATTCTATCAATTGTTGCCTGAAAATATGTACTACTTACTAGTAGAAACAGAAAGTTCCTTTTATTTGATTACTCCTGAAATGGAAAAATCAAGATAATTGAATTAGTCTGAGTGCTTGTTTAATAATATGCAGATTATATTACAAGAAATTACTTGGTAAAATGAGGGACAGAAATAATAAAAATCTGTAGATTTACTCTAGAAGAACTTCACTGTCTAACTGCCCTTCATGTCTTTGAAAATATCCATGCCACTCTTCATTATAAAAAGCATGGGGCCAAATCCTGAAGTACTGTGCTACTGATCCACCCAAAGAAGGGTCTTCCACTAATGGATCTTGCCTTTGTCTGCCCAGGGTTAGGAAGAGAGCAGGCAGGGGCAAAGGTGGGCTGGGAATTTAGCTGTGGGAGATACTGTCATCACCTCACCAATCTTGCAAGGAACCAATAGCAAAATGGGGGTTGTATTACAGTGGAGCTGTATTATGATTAGTCTTGGAAAGATTAGATTTTTTTTAAAATCAGTAAACATCAAACACATACAAACCAATAAAGAAAAAGTCCATTAATAATAATTGAAATGTACAGACAGGCAAAGTAAGAAAAATGTTCCTTGAGAACATTAGAGTTTAATTTAAGGATATTTACTTTGTATATTTTGACATGTGGTGTTAACAATGTGTGTTTTAATGGTTATAGAACTTTAACTTTGTACATCTCAACGTCTATTGTCATTGAATAATTATTGGCTGATTCAGCCCACCTCCATAATCTCCCATAACTGTGAAAATTCAAATAGATAAAAATTCAAAAAGATGCTTAAAACCCATAATTTTGTGCAATTCTGAAAATTTAAATAGATAATCAAAACTGCTTAAAAAATCAATGTGTCACAATTATAAAAAATTAAATTCTGCCAAGCTGAATTATAATGGAACTGTATTAAATTTTCTTTAGAACCCCTCATGGTGGGAAATCATGGTCAGGGGAGCTGTGCTGACAGGCTGCAGAATGGGATAAGAGGAGCTGTGGCAGAAGAATGGAGCCTCACTACAGACAACCAGGAAGGGAGGAGGAACCCAGACCTCTGTCCTTGCTCCTTCTTTTACTCAGGCTAATCTCTTATTGAAGTAAATGGGATTTAACTGAGTAAAGACTCAAGAAATTTCCCCACAATAACGTTTAAGGAATGTCCAGGAGCCTGTGTAGGGTATGGGGGTTTTTTTGTTTTTTTTTTCCTCTCTCTCTCTCTCTCTCTCACACACACCTACCTACCTACCCACCCACCCACCCGGTGTATCACCACTGAATTTCATGGAACTGGGTCCAGTGTTGTAAAACCAGTGCAACTGATAGGAGAATCAGGTCCTTACATTATTCAGGACCAAAACTCTTCATTGTGAAGAACTTTAAAAAATAATCCTGTAAATGTTGCTAACTATTTCCTTTAAACATATCTCCCTAGAAGAATCAGACATCAGGTTTGCGGGGAACTTTTTAAAATGGCGGCGGTGGTGGTGGTGGTTGTTGTTATGTATTTAGTGGTTGGTAGAAGTGGCCTCATGGAAATTTTTCTTCTGGAATTAAAATATCAGCTCCCAAGCACATTTGTTTTCACGCTGATTTCGTTTCCTTTGTATGGGCTTATACTTCTAGGATGAAGTGAGAGATTCCTCAGTACAGCTCTTAACTATTTCAGTCTTGACAGGTTTCTGTAGCCTTCCCATTAGTCCTGGCCTGTATCACATGTTAAGAGTTGCTGAATTAATTTCCAGCTTTTATGAAAAGTTTGTATAGATCAGTGGGCCTGATCCTCTGCTCTGTTATACCAAATTTAGGCTTAATTCCATTAATTTTAAAGGAGCTATGCCAGCATAAAACCAGTGTACGAGCAGATAATCATGTCAGCATTTTAAACAGAGCCATAAAAATTCAACTTTGGACCCAGATCTTACTTGTGCAGATTCTCTACCTAGCAGCAATAGAGAATACTCATTACAAAACTGCTGTTATTGGTCTATAGTTTTGAAGCCTCACCTTATCATATGTGGTATAATGTTCTTCTACTCATTGTGCAATGAAGTTATTTAAGACTTCATAAAACCCCTGGGCAGCCTTCATAGCAGGGATTGGAAGGTAACGAAACCAGGGTATAAAATCAGCTGGGTTAACAACACTTGTGGCTTTTAGAAAATCTTCATTGATCCTAATCATGCTAAGAAACTCTTCGTTGTATTCATACCTTTTGCCAAAGCACAGGGCGCAGACAACGTTTGCAACAGTACAAGTGGTAATACCAGTGAGGTCAAAGGCACCTTTCTCTAAGGAGAGCTCCAGGAACATTTTCACCAGTGCTGAAGCTTCTGCACATACGTGCTCTTCCAGAAGACAAGAGCAAGTAGAGGTTTTGGCTTCTGGCTTCGAAAAGGATCTTAAAGCTTTACTGGCAATTTTCTTGTGGCGTTTCCAGCTCTCTCCATATTCTACAGAAAATGATAGACTTTTTCCATCAGCAAAGAAAGAAAAGGTGTACATCTTGGGCCTGCCAACAAAACCCTCTCCATCTCTAAGTAACACTTGTTTTACTGTATCTGGACCATTCACCACCACAACAGGTACCATCCCCAGCTTTAGGAGAAACATGTCCCCATATTTTTTCCTCATTTGGATAAATGAAAGGTGAGGATGCTCTCCAAGCTGAAGCAGGTTCCCCACAATTGGTAATGACCATGGACCTGAAGGGAGGATGTGCTTTCTGGTCATATTACCTATTATTCTTACAGAAATTAAAATGAATATCATAGTAAAGAGGGCAGCCATCACTTCTGAATGGGAAATCTTTGCCTCAAACATCATTTCCAGAAATAAAAACACCTAAGAGAAAAAATATTGGAAGCCTTAATCACTAGCATTAACTAAAATAGCAAAAAAAGTATCTCTACCTGGAAAGTATTTCAGCAGGTTCTTAACTATGACTTGAAATTAAAATGTGCACTTGAATAGAGGTGGGAAATATAGCAACATAAATTGAAACACTTCACAGCAGCATTTTCTTACATTTAATAGACTTATTTAATTCCGTATCAGTGTCTAATTTACATGGCAATAAAACCAGGCACCCGTTTTTCTTTTGTTTTCACAACTTGGAGACTACAGAATTCTAGAGCAGAGAGTAAAGTGAATACAATATGCAGGATGTCTCAGATCAGACCTTGACACACACATGAATTAACTAATATGAGGCCAATTAAATAGCCCCAACCTCTCCCCCTTGTGCTCCTCACCCACACAAACACAAGAGCCTGAGGAAAACTCTAATGCTGTGTATTGAATGTGTATAATTTTAAACCAAAAATATATGGGGCTAGATGATCGCTTTAAGGCAAAGAGTCTCCGTGTTTTCCATAACGTGACCCCCCATTCTGCATACCATGACATTCCCTGTTTAGCTGGGATCTCATTTAGACCTCCTCTTCTTCCCTTTAGCAATATAGAAAGGGCAGGATGGTCACAGTCTGGCATCACAAGCCCCAGTTAAGAGTCCATGCTTTAAAGCAATAGATCTGTAGCAGAGTATGGGGGTTGGGGGCAGGGACTACCTTCAGGTGGCAGTGACTACTCCAGGAAGAAGTCTAGCTATTTCAGCCAGTATTGCTTTTGAGACTTGGGGCCACTGTATATTGTAGCAGGAGATCAATATACAGCTTGAGATGGTTAAGTTCAGGATCCTGACACAAGAAAGAAAGGAAAGCAGCAGAATACTGACCCTGGACTTCAGAAAAGCAGACTTTGACTCCCTCAAGGAGCTGATGGGCAAGATCCCCTGGGAGAATAACATGAGGGGGAAAGGAGTCCAGGAGAGCTGGCTGTATTTTAAAGAATCCTTATTGAGGTTACAGGGACAAACCATCCCAATGTGTAGAAAGAATAGTAAATATGGCAGGCGACCGGCTTGGCTTAACAGTGAAATCCTTGCTGCTCTTAAATACAAAAAAGAAGCTTACAAGAAGTGGAAGATTGGACAAATGACCATGGATGAGTATAAAAATATTGCTCGGGCATGCAGGAGTGAAATCAGGAAGGCCAAATCACACCTGGAGCTGCAGCTAGCAAGACACGTTAAGAGTAACAAGAAGGGTTTCTTCACGTATGTTAGCAACAAGAAGAAAGTCAAGGAAAGTATGGGCCCCTTACAGAATGAGGGAGGCAACCTAGTGACAGAGGATGTGGAAAAAGCTAATGTACTCAATGCTTTTTTTGCCTCTGTCTTCACAAACAAGGTCAGCTCCCAGACTACTGCACTGGGCAGCACAGCATGGGGAGGAGGTGACCAGCCCTCTGTGGAGAAAGAAGTGGTTCGAGACTATTTAGAAAAGCTGGACATGCACAAGTCCATGGGGCCAGATGCGTTGCATCCGAGAGTGCTAAAGGAGTTGGTGGATGTGATTGCAGAGCCATTGGCCATTATCTTTGAAAACTCATGGCGATCGGGGGAGGTCTCGGACGACTGGAAAAAGGCTAATGTAGTGCCCATCTTTAAAAAAGGGAAGAAGGAGGATCCTGGGAACTACAGGCCAGTCAGCCTCACCTCAGTCCATGGAAAAATTATGGAGCAGGTCCTCAAGGAATCAATTCTGAAGCACTTAGAGGAGAGGAAAGTGATCAGGAACAGTCAGCATGGATTCACCAAGGGCAAGTCATGCCTGACTAATCTAATTGCCTTCTATGACGAGATAACTGGCTCTGTGGATGAGGGGAAAGCAGTGGATGTGTTGTTCCTTGACTTTAGCAAAGCTTTTGACATGGTCTACCATAGTATTCTTGCCAGCAAGTTAAAGAAGTATGGGCTGGATGAATGGACTATAAGGTGGATAGAAAGCTGGCTAGATTGTCGGGCTCAACGGGTAGTGATCAATGGCTCCATGTCTAGTTGGCAGCTGGTATCAAGTGGAGTGCCCCAAGGGTCAGTCCTGGGGCCGGTTTTGTTCAATATCTTCATAAATGATCTGGAGGATGGTGTGGATTGCACCCTCAGCAAGTTTGCAGATGACACTAAACTGGGAGGAGAGGTAAATACGCTGGAGGGTAGGGATAGGATACAAAGGGACCTAGACAAATTGGAGGATTGGGCCAAAAGAAATCTGATGAAGTTCAACAAGGACAAGTGCAGAGTCCTGCACTTAGGACGGAAGAATCCAATGCACCGCTACAGACTAGGGACTGAATGGCTCGGCAGCAGAAAAGGACCTAGGGGTTACAGTGGACGAGAAGCTGGATATGAGTCAACAGCGTGCCCTTGTTGCCAAGAAGGCCAATGGATTTTGGGATGTATAAGTAGGGGCATTGCTACGTGATCGTTCCCCTCTATTCGACACTGGTGAGGCCTCATCTGGAGTACTGTGTCCAGTTTTGGGCCCCACACTACAAGAAGGATGTGGAAAAATTGGGAAGAGTCCAGTGGAGGGCAACAAAAATGATTAGGGGACTGGAACACATGACTTATGAGGCGAGGCTGAGGGAACTGGGATTGTTTAGTCTACAGAAGAGAAGAATGAGGGGGGATTTGATAGCTGCTTTCAACTACCTGAAAGGGGGTTCCAAAGAGGATGGCTCTAGACTGTTCTCAGTGGTAGCAGATGACAGAACAAGGAGTTATGGTCTCAAGTTGCAGTGGGGGAGATTTAGGTTGGATATTAGGAAAAACTTTTTCACTAGAAGGGTGGTGAAACACTGGAATGCGTTACCTAGGGAGGTGGTGGAATCTCCTTCCTTAGAAGTTTTTAAGGTCAGGCTTGACAAAGCCCTGGCTGGGATGATTTAATTGGGGATCGGCCCTGCTTTGAGCAGGGGGTTGGACTAGATGACCTCCTGAGGTCCCTTCCAACCCTGATATTCTATGATTCCATGATCTGCCTTACTTTGACAAGACCTCCCATGCAGAGGAGGGGCAAAGTGACAACGCTTTATTCATCTTGACTCTAGGAAAGTTAGTGCTAGCCTCATACAATGTCTGTGCTCCCCCAGCCAGACTGTGGCTGGCCCCTGAGCTGGGATACAAGAGGAAGGGAACTCTTTAGGTGCATATCCCACCCTTGCACACAAGAACAAGCCAAAATCTGGCCCAGAGCTGCTAGCCTCTCACTAAAAGTAACACACACTAAAGTATTCACTTAGCACCTTATCTGATGAAGATGTAGTAATTAATTTGCAGCACAAAGTTTGCACAGATGATAGTCACACAGAACCCTTAGATGATATTTGCAGTATTTCTTGCTACTTTAAATCAAAATGAAATTCAGAAAAAGAAACCAAGGTGGTTTTGATAGTCATAAAATATTTTATATTCTAGTTTTACTTTATGCACCAAAATTCATAATGCTGAAAATAGTGATTTTTTTACAATACTTTTAGAGGTTTCTTGGCAGGTCAACTGTAATCTCATTGTCCCATTATTAGTGCATGCCCAACTAATATGGAACCAGCACAAATACAATCACAAAAAATACACATGCTCAGAGAGCCTTAAACATGCATTTCTGAAGAGGAATGATTCACTGATGTTGCTTTTGCAAAACTTCTAAGATTTCCCATGACAACAAAATATGTAATTGTTTTCTCTTCAGTTTACTCTCCCAGTACTTTGAGTCCCTGAATTTTGAGGAAGAGGCTATTACATACCTTTTGTGGCTAGTTCCATGGGATGTGTTTTTAAGTTTCCCTACTGGGTCCCCTGAAGTCTAGTTAATTATTGGAAGCCTTCCCTCGCTTTGCAATTCCTAGAATAAGTCCTGGAGCACTTCCCACATGTGTTGTTTACTAGCTGATCAGAAGGGAAATACGTTCGCTGCTTGTTTGAGGACTCTTGTATAAAACGTAAGGCCATCTGTTCAGGGCTGTGAATTTTAATCAATGATATTTTAAAAACAACATATCTGATTGAGATTTAAAATGCCTCACTCGGGCACTGCCAAATGCTTCCTTGGAACAAGGAGATGGTTTAAAATCTGCTTCAGACTTAGTCTATCATGGGGCCTGGGGATGTTTTGGGAGAGGGGAGGTTGTCTCTCTCCAGCGAGTGAGGCTTCAGGTCCCTCGCCTGCGCAGTGAGAGCTGAACAGCTGTGCGCTGCGAGTGAAACAGCCCAGCTCCGGCCAGGAATCCGGAGCTGGAAACCCTCCGCTACGGTTGCTTTAAAATCTAGCTCTGTTCTCCCAGGAAACTCCCACAAACTCACCTGTCCTGGAGCAAAACTGAGAAAGTCCAGCAGCCTCTCCGCGCCCTTCGGATCCTCCCAGAGCCTGGGTTGCACCCTCCCTTCAATGCAGCGCCGCAGGGACACCGCCCGCCGGGCCCCCGCTCCCCGCCAGGCGCTAAGAAGGGAGCGGTGCGGCAGGAGGGTGGAAGCAGCGGGCTAGCCGCGGGGAGAGGGAGTGTCAGAAAGTTGGGGAGCAGTGGGAGTGAGGGGAGAGGCAGAGGATTTCATTCTGAATTACTTTTCAGAGTCTTTTCTTACCTATGGCTTCCTGCCATCATTTCTTGGATCCAACTAGCCCTAAAACAACTTTCAGCCATTAACATCCTCTACTGCTTCCGTTCTCCACCACCCAGGCTCTCCCAAAATCTTTCAATACATGGACCGAAAGCTCCTGCAGTTCTAAGGCCCAGGTATGTTGCTGTTACGTAAAACAACTCTCCTTGACAATGATGTGTTGGAATGCAGTGGTGAAATAATCAGGTCCCCAATATTGCCACTATACTATTTTGACAGGTTTCAGAGTAGCAGTCGTGTTCGTCTGTATTCGCAAAAAGAAAAGGAGTACTTGTGGCACCTTAGAGACTAACAAATTTATTTGAGCATAAGCTTTCGTGAGCTACAGCTCACTTCATCGGATGCATTCAGTGGAAAATACAGTGGGGAGATTTATATACACAGAGAACATCAAACAATGGATGTTACCATACACACTGTAAGGAGAGTGATCACTGAAGATGAGCTAATACCAGCAGGAGGGGGTGGGGGTGGGGTGGGGGACCTTCTGTAGTGATAATCAAGGTGGGCCATTTCCAGCAGTTGACAAGAACATCTGAGGAAGGGGGGGAGGAGAACGGACGGGGACTGCAACCATGCATTTTCCATTTTGTAGCTCTCTCATCACTTCCCCCCAACTCTTGTTTTCTAGTAGCTCCCATTCCCCAACACAAAGAATACCAACTTCCTCTGCCTTCCTTTAAATGCTGTAGCCCTGACCCTCTTGACACACATACTTTTCTTTTCCCCAGTTTCTCTGCACTCCAACTCTGTGTGCACTCAACATCTTCTCTGTATTTTCCTTAAACCTCTACAATTCCAGCAACGGCCTTGTTAAATATTCTGTCCAGACCTTTCTCACTCTTGCAGCTTATCTCTCCAGATTCCTGTGTGCTCCATAATTTTCTCTTCCTTCCCCCAGTTCTCTCTACCCATCTCCTTTTCCCAACTGTTTCATACTCATGGGTTTCCCAGACATTCATTAATGGGCAGTAAGAGAAGTTACATTTGCAGAAACTTAAACTTCTTTAATTAAAGCAAGGAGGCCATCATATAAATACAGAATCCATTACTGAATCCTACAAAGTTGGTTGCTTCACTAACATCCTGTGGCAGTGTGTTTCACAGGTTAATTATTCAATTTGGAATAAATATTTTAATTACTTTCAGATGTATTTCCTTTAAATTTACTTAGGTGACCTATGTATTCTCCTTATAAGAAAAAGTGCCCAGTTGCCTAGCTATATACCATTCCATATTTTATATATCTTCATTATGAATGCTCTTAACAACTACCTAAGATAGATGGTCCTACTTTTTTTTTTTTAATTTCTGATCATGTGAAAACTTGTCTATGCCTCTAATAATTTTTACTGTCCTCCTCTAGACCTTTTGTGGGGGTTTTTTGAGATAGGATGAGCTAAACTGAACACAGTAGTTGAGTTCTTTGTTGCTACAAACACTGACATTTATATTATCAAATTGTCATTGTATCATGGTTGGAAGAAATGCTCATATTCTGTACCAGCATTACATAAAGAAACACAGCCCAGTCTTTTTATTAATCACAAATCTACTTTATTGCCTTCCACTTTATACATGATAGTAAAAATAATTGGTTCACAAGCTATTTCAGTGCTTAATGTCAACATAATACTTACTGAATGTTGTTATTCCACTGTCTTTGTCTGTACTATTAATAATAGCTGTTGACGCAAGGCTATTATTTAAACACCTTTCAGACTGGTCATTTTGTCCAATCAGTATGGACATCATGTATGCTACATTGGACAAGCCTGAAATTTTGGTTCTTTCATCACAAATCTCCACACCTAATTATATCCCTGATCCTGCAAACACATACACTTAAGCTTAATTTTACTACCATGAGTTATTCCATTGATCTCAGTGGGTCTATTCACATGAGTAAATAGGGTGACAAGGACAGGAGCAGAACCAGGGACTGGTGTGGAGGAAAGTAAGGAGAGGGTGGTTAGGGATCAGATGGATATTTTGGGTGGGTGGCGAAAGAAGGCAGGGCCTGTGGAAGACGGACTTCAAAGTTAAGTGGAGGGGACTTGCTTTGAGTTTCTACATCAGCACAATGTATCTATGGCTATGCCCCAGTAAATTACATCCAGATCTAAGGGATTATTTCAGTTTTTGACAGGGTAATGGGAAAATGGTGAAGTGGGTAGATCTCATTTGTGAATGTTGAACAGCACAGCATAAAAGAGGAAGATTAATTTGGCATACTGTGAAGTGTAACATAAAAAACATCTATCTTGAATCTCTCCTCACTATGCAGGTGTAGACTAGGAATGACTTTATTGAAATCAATGAATTTACACTAAAACAGAATATGCATAAAAATATAGTCAGGCTGAACATATCCATTCCTTTTATCCCCTGTATTAGATGGAACAGAGAGTCTAGCAACCAATGGTAGAGAGGGGAAATAAGTTGATTGTGCTAATGACTCCCATCTAAGTAGTACACAACTAAGGGTTGAAAGGTTGCACAACTGATACTGCTCTGTATAAATCTCAGAAAATTACCATAAATACTAGCCAGGCAGTAACTGCTTGATTACTAATATAGGTCCTGAACCTGCAAATACTTACTTATATGCTTAGCTTGTCCACAGAGAGCAGCAATGCGCACTATGGGGTGTGATTTCTAAGGCACTCTAACAAGTTGTGCATTAATTGGTCCATGTAGACCCTGGTGGTGTGCATTAAGGATTCCTAGTGTGCTTTCATGTAGTAGTGTTTGAAACAGCACTAAATTCAAGTACACTAGGGAACCATCAGGGTCTACACATACCAATTAACACACAACATGTTAGTGTGCTTTAGAAATCACACCCACTTTGCTGCTCTGTGTACACAAGCCCTGATTTAAGTCCTTTTTTTAAAAACAATTGTTAAAATCCCCCTATTGTTTATGAAGGCCCAGGTTTTTAAAATGGGTATGTCTCTGATTCAAAATTTGGGACCAAAATGTACTTGAAATGTATGTGTAGAGAGATGGCAATTTAAAACTGTTTAGGTTTCATAGTTAGTTCAAAATAGTAGATCTAGATCTATTTTCTGGCCTTTCAGATGCTTGATGTCCAGTCAATGTAGTAACATTGTTAGGAAAATGAATATTTCCATGTGAGCAAAGCTTTCTTCCAGACACCTCCTCTTGCCAATCCTGAAGATCATTACTTTTCAGCTAGGTTCTTGATTTCTTGTCTGTTGTCATCAAGAAATCTTTCAGGGCTAAACAAACCTGGGTTCTTCTATAATTTTCTAAAAATAAACATCACACTGTTAGGTATTTGATAGTTTAATATCTCAATTCTATGAGGTTCTGAGCACCTGTAACTACCAATGAATTCAATGCAAATCCAGGGTGATCAGCTCCTTGGAGCATCAGGCTCTAAGTAAAATTAGTTAGCATGAAAACACATCTCTGACTCATGTATGGATCTTTCTTCAGAACAGTAGAAAATATGTGCTTTTTTTCATGTACTAGAAACATGTTCAGGTGCTGAGAACCTGCTGCTCCCAATGGGCTCAGTTGTATTCCAATGAAAGCCAGCAGCAAAATTCCTATTGACCTCATTGGGACCCAATTTGGGAAAGCATCTCTATCTGGAAAGTATTTCAGCAGGTTCTTAACTTCAAGCATATACATAAGCCCCACCGAAATTTAAAGTTAAGTATGTGATTAAGTGCTTTCCTGAATCATAGCCTGGAAGCCCATTGACTGTGATGGGAGAGAAGGGTGCTGAGGATCTGTCCCTAATAGTCACAGAATAACAGAATGTTAATGTTGGTAATTTTAAAAAGTAAACCTCTCAATATTTGTTTAGTCAAGTCTATTATTATTTATTTTGCAAGACTGATTTATATTAGAACAGTAAAGCTCTTTAATAAACCAAAGAAGAAACATAGAAAACAACAACTGTGAAATGCATCTGATACTAAGGGCTAGTCTACACTAGAAGCGTTACAGCTCTCCCATCGGCATAATAAAACCACCTCTGTGAGAGGCGGTAGCTATCCCACCGACATAGTGGTGTCCACACCAGTGCTTAGTTTGGTGTAACTTATGTTGCTCGGGGGGTGGCTAACTCAAATTCCTGAGTGACATAAGTTATACTGCCATAACCTGTAGTGTAGACAAGTTCTAAGAGTTGTGGGGAGAGAGGGACTTAACAAAAATTTGTATTTTTATATTATTATTCTAATATAGGTCACAATTATTTAGCTTTAAGTTAATGCAAAATGATGATCACAGAGCACATAGGTAATAATTAATGGCTTATATAAGAACATAAGAATGGCCCTACTGGCTCAGACCAAAGGTCCATCTAGCCCAGTATCCTGTCTTCCAACAGTGGCCAGTGCCAGGTGCCCCAAAGGGAATGAACAGAACAGATAATCATCAAGTGATCCATCCCCTCTCACTCATTTCCCAGCTTCTGGCAAACAGAGGCTAGGGACACCATTCCTGCCCATCCTGGCTAACAGCCATTGATGAACCTATCCTCCATGAATTTATCTAGTTCTTTTTTGAACCCTGTTATGGTCTTGGCCTTCACAACATCCTCTGGCAAGGAGGTCCACAGGTTGACTGTGCGTTGTGTGAAGAAATACTTCTTTTTATTTGTTTTAAACCCGCTGCCTATTAATTTCATTTGGTGACCCTTTAGTTCTTGTGTTATGAGAAGTAGAGAAACAACACTTCCTGATCTACTTTCTCTACACCAGGATTTTATAGACCTCAATCGTATCTCCCCTTAGCCATCTCTTTTCCAAGCTGAGAAGTCCCAGTCGTATTAATCTCTCCTCATACGGAAGCTGTTCCGTACCCCTAATAATTTTTGTTGCCCTTTTCCAACCTTTTTCCAATTCCAATTTATCTTTTTTGAGATGGGGTGACCACATCTGCACACAATATTCAAGATGTGGGCGTACCATGGATTTATATAGAGGCAACATGATATTTTCTGTCCTATTATCTATCCCTTTCTTAATTATTCCCAGCATTCTGTTCGCTTTTTTGATTGCCTCTTCACATTGAGTGGATGTTTTCAGAGAACTATCCACAATGACTCCAAGATCTTTCTTTCTTATGACTGATCTTTTCTCTAGTTTTGATCTCTCAAAGAAGTCACTACATGTAAGGGATTAATCTCATAACAGATATATAGATTCATAGATTTTAAGGCCATAAGGGACCATTAAGTCATCTACTTTGACCTCCTGCATAACACAGGCTGTATAATTTTACCAAGTTACCCCTGCATTGTGGCAAATAATGTGTGTTTAACTGAAGCAGGTCTTTATACAGATTTTATCATGGAGAGTCTGAAAATTCAATATACATACAATCTAAAACTTGTGATAACCTTGCATACTGGGCAACAAAATACAACTTATTATAGTTGATTTGATATTGATGGATGAAAACACAGGAATCTTTGGCAATAAAATATCCGCTTAATACAATATCTTCAGCGGTACTGCAAGAAAACAAGGATATAAAAAATCAACCATTTCATGTAGGGCTTGATCCAACTTCCATTAAAGTTAATAGGCTCCCATTGACTTTAATGGAACTTATTTGGTTCTTAGTCAGTTTTTGATTATACAAATTAATTGTGAAGAGAAAAATGTACTTCTAATAAAAGTTCTGAATGTTTTAAATTATAAATAAGCCTTACTAAAAGGAAAAAAATGTCTTGTAGATCACTACATGTAGTACAAATTATTTGTAAAACACTCACAGAATGAGAACATTCTGTCATTTCTTTGCATTTTGTTCCTATCTTTCTTTTAATGAAAATGTTATTTATTTTCTTAAGCAACAAAGAAAAAATACCATATAAATCATAGTTACATCCTAATATAAAAATATGTATATTTAGGTGAATCAGATAAACCTCCTGTAAGCCAGTGAGATCTGCTGAGTGCTTAGCACATTTCAAAATCAGTCCATCTCTAGATTTAGGATCCTAACCTTAGGCTCCAGTTTTTTAAAAAAATATTGTCCTAAATAAATAAAACTTTTAATATGGTGTAATATCTTGAAAAGCTACTGTCATTGTTGTTCTGGAAAATTATCAGCGTAACAGTTTTTTACCACACAGACTGAAAACTTTTTGCTAAATACTTACCAATGAGGAATCATGAAAGGCACGTAAGATGCATGTTAAACACTTCATAAATTAAAGCTTCAGTGTAGGGCACTGAAGACCTGTCTTCAAATCTGGGCAACCAGCTCTACCCAATTTTCTCATCTGCATGTGCAGAGACAAAAACAAATGTCACTGAAAGATATCACACCATACTAAGAAATAGACTTTGATGAGTGCAACACTTTACAAGATGAAAACATGGCATATTTCAAAACACTCTTAAAGAGAAATTTTCAAAGGGGCCTCAACATGGCCTCTTGGACTGAATGGACAGAGCAACTAAGGATGAAAAGATGGAAATACATAAACCTGGCTGTAGAACTTATTAGTTGCAAAATAGTTATGCCAGTAACAGCCCTAGTGCAGATGCAGTTGTAGAAAGTGTTTTTATACCAGTATAACTTATACTGGTATAAAGCTGAAGAAGAGTGCTCTGTGGCTCAAAAGCTTGTACCTTCCACCAACAGAAGTTGGTCCAATAATACCTATCAATCATCTAGACACTTTTTAGAATCACTGAGCTTAGAGGCTGTTCTATGTGAAATGCATGTGATGGTTCCATTCAGTTCCCAGTGGACTTCACATAACAAAGGCATCACAGCTGGGATCTGTCTCACCAGAGAGGGTAAGCACTGAGGGCCTTGTTCTCTGAGTTGTAGAGTGACTCCTCTGAGCAAATGAGAGTTGAGGGCACTCTCCGCCTAACAGGAGGTGCACAGCCTTGGTGATATTAGTATGGGCCTCTACATCTAACTGTTACTTTCTTTTTAGACACTTGTGCAGGTCAACAGTAACCAAAAGTTTTAAATACCCCTATCAGTTAGGCTTGAGGCCATTATAAAGGTTCTGTGAAGAAGTTTCTTGTGGCTGCTGCCTGAGCTATATTTGGCCTTTCAGTTCTAGCCATGTTGATCTGGCACTTTTCAGGGTAGCTAAATTAATTCATTGAAAACCAAATGAATTAAAACATCAGAGCAAACTGTAACAGAAAGTAGGTTTAAGAAAAAGTAGTCCCTGAGTAGTTTTTCCTCTCATTGAGTGACTGAAGTGCTGTGCTGCCTGTTTCTAAGACTGCTGAGCACTACCAAATTGGGGGGAGGGTGGGTGGCTAAAATGAGCAGCTTTTAGATATTAATTTTTAACTGTCTTTTCTATTGTAAGCAATTTTGAACATTGTTACTGAAAACAGGTTGTTAGAACTTTTTTAAAGTATGTGAAACTAAAATAAAACACAATCTAAAATTTTCAGAAAAATAATTGGCATTTTTTTGACCAGCTGTAGTAATAAATAGACTTGGAGCTGGCCTTCAGCATATAGGTGAATTTCATTCTGTATGTCTATCTCTGTGGTACATGAGTACTCGGAAGCAGTGTGGTTGGATATATCTTGAGTGAGAGATTTATTCTATTCTCATTTATCCCAGTTTTACACTGGTGAAAATCCAGTGACTTCAGTGAACTCACCCAATTTACAGTGGTGTGAGTGAATGATTTGTCATTTAGAAGTGGATAATGTTTGATTTTTAGAGGACTGCTTGCCTGAATTTTTTTTGCTTCTATTGATTTTAGATGAAAAACAAAAACATATCCTTTGCATATTTATAGTGGCAACTCAATGGTAGCATGGTTATTAAATCTATTTTCCCATGTAATATTAAATAGGAACTGAAATGCCTCATTTATATTTTACAACGGTAATAGTTCTGTACATTAGTAATGGCAAATACACTGAAAAATCAAGGAAAACTTTAAAACAAAGCTGCTATTGAGTGTTCTGGAATGTAATGTACTGCCAGGATGACAGAAAAGGTCTGTAGCTTCTAGCATTTAGCAGTAAAATTGTTCTAATGTTGTGTTTACACTATTTCATATCTTACCTCTGTTATATTCTAAGTTCTCAACTTCCACTGAATAAAAATATTCTGATTCATCAAAGAAACAAAATTTAAAGACTGGCCTTCCTAGAAATATTCTGTTGCTGCGCTGCAGAAAGCGGGTGCTGATACAAAAAATAAGCACCATAGATTCTGCTTAGTTGTAATACACATTCGCTTGCACAGAGATCTTTTGTGTCTGTCCGTTAATCAACATTTGAAAGTTTATCTGAGCCAAGAAAATGAAATCAGCCTGTGTAACAATTGGTGAAAGAAAATCAAAAATATAATGTAGCAGAGAAGGGATTTCTATTTTGATTTCGTTGCATGTACCAGGCTTGTGATACATTTTGTTACTTTGTGTTCTAGACTTGACTAGTCACAGCAAACAGCTTTGAAAGGTTGGACTGAAAGTCTTGATGTTGTTTTTAAATGGGAATTTTATCTTCTGTAATAAACAGCCTTAATATATAACCCAAAAATACAGAGATGTAAATCTAAGAAGATTGAGAACAACTGGAATTAGGTCATTTGGAATTATTACAGATTACTAGAAATGAGAGGGGAAAAAATGGTCCCTGGATAGAACTGGCGTGTGGGCAGTCACCTTTGCCCCCTTCCTACTACAATGAGCAGAGCTCTGGCGGACCTGAGTACTAAGCCCACCTTTTTCACTTTTGCATTGAAATTACTTTTTTAAAAAAAAAAAAAAAAAAACCGTGAGGACAGTGATCTTTGAGGCTCTGATAGGGCCATGGAGGACACCCCCTTGTGGAAAGAAAAAATATAGTTTACCTTTGGCTGTTTGAGTGGTCTGACTGGGAGTACAGTATGCTGTCTCATGGCAGAGCCTGGTCTGAGAGCCACATTAGGGCTTCTACTCAGGGTAACAGAGCAGAGTCATTGTTCTTTGCTTCTGAGGAAGGCAAAAGCTATTTATCTATGATGTTTTGAGGACTGCTACATAGAGGATAGAGCCGGGGACTGTGGGATTCAATATTGAGTAAAATGGCTGCCCAGAATGAAATTTTCTGTGAAAACCCAATGACTCAATTTGTAACTGCCAGTAATACTGATTGTCAGTTTAGGAATATGTTTGGGGTTGGGTTAGGGTCAGGGAGAGGGAGGGATAGCCCTGCTCATCTGCTGGAAACCTTGGGGTCACCCACCCACTGATGATGACCACCTCCACTAGAACGATATCAGGCAAGGCCTTTGCTTGCAAAGAGCTAAGCACCCTGTGCTCCCGTGGGCCTCAAATGGAGGGTTAGGTCACTCAGCACTTTTTCAACACCAGGCCCTCAATGACCGTGTTGTTAAAAAAGAAAAAGAAGCAGAAACCTGACAGGATTCTCTCTATATTTTTTTTTCTTGTAATTCAAGCAGGCTCTTGCACCATTAAAACATTGGCATCTATGCAGTTTGGATGCCATCCAAACTCATCTGCTGAAAACTAAAATATTTCCTACCAACAAGCCCTGACAGTTTTCTCAGCTTTCTATGAATTTAATGCACAGAGCCTCCCACCCTTAATGTTGATTAGCACCTGTACGTAACTCATGCAACTAAGAGCTTTGCTTAAAGAAAAGGGAGTCAGATTTCATTGGTATTTTTGTCATGTATCTTTTGTAGATTTCCATAGGTTAGCTGTCACATAGCCTATTTACTTTAAAGATGAAACACACAATAGAGCTGATGTAGTCTGCAGAACTTTTATAAAATCTCAGTTTCCAATGAGGTTTAATTCGAGCTTGAGGGGGGACAAAGGAAAAAAAACAGATGTAGAATGGAACTGGGTTAACTGTTAAATAGCTCAAATAATATTGAGGAATTCAGACACTTATTCAAACCTCTCTGAACCTCTTTTGGGCTGAAAATCAATCAAGGAGTCTCACATGAACAGAAGGAACAGGCACAATCGCGCTCTCACTAATAAAGTCAATGGGAATTTTGCCATTGATGTTGATGGGATAAGGATCAGGCCATTGGAAGAGGCCCTTCAGTGCTTCTGCTTTCCATGTCACCCAAATTGTAAATTAATGTCTCCTAGAAATACATTTAATTTTGCTTTAATAAGACAGTTATTGTCCTGTAACCTAATAAATGCCAATTGACTGTTTAAATTAATTGAGCTTTAATAAATCAATTTAATCGATTTAAAACTCCATTGTCTGGACCATCTTGAAGCTACACAGAGCTCTTCCTCAGGTCTCTTACTTTTTAATCATACATTTATTGACATTCTAGATGTGTAGGGTTTGTTTGTACTGCACTGGAATTTAGAAACAAAATCTATAACTTTTAAAATAACATGCCATTCTAAACTGCAGTTGCATTGAGGTAAAAACTAGTAAAACATTTTTTTCTATATGAAGGGCTCACTTGTCAAATGTATTTCAATTTTGTAAACTATTCATGTAAGAGCTCTAATTCTAGAAATATACAATACTAAAGAAAATATGATTAATCTAACAGTACCACCACTAAGAAACAAGTTATTATTAAAAAAGCAATTTAACTTTTAAAAGGTTATAAACGCAAACATACATACTGTGATACAGAATCCTATCCATCAATTTTACCCAAACTGAACATTAAGTGCAGTCTGTACTTTCTTTACAATGCATGCATTTCTTTAAAAAAGTTACTCCTGAAGCTATTCTGCTTCTTTTTTTGATGGTAGAATCTGTTTTGGGGCAAAAAATCCTTTCAAAGATTTTGTTTATAGATCGTAGTGATGATGATGGACAGATGGGTATTTTGCAGCCAGTTCGGTGTGGAGCTCTTGCAGCAGTTTGAGGCTGAAATGAAGAACTTTCAGACACTCTTGTGCTTCCAAATTTCAGGGGGAGGAGCAACAAGGATGAGTTTGATGTTAGAGAAGCAAGCTCTAAGTTTTAGACGATGGAAAATGTAATTCACACAGCTACATGTAAAATATCAGTGTGTTTTCTGAAAAAAGCTTCAGAGAATGTGTGAGGCTGGTGCTAAAACCTTTTCCCCTCAAAGGAACCACTCTGACTATACAGCAAATGCATTACTTCACAGGAGAATTTGAAGTTTCAGCTTCTCTTTTTGTACTCTGCCTCCTATTCTCTCTTCTCCTTAGATTCTTATAGTGCTCTCATCACTGTAGAATCTGAGCAAATTCCCATAGTGCATAAGCAACATGACCACACACACACACCCCCACCACCTCCTTGCTGTTCATTCTTTCACGCATCCTTTTCCCAGGGACTTAAGTGTATGCTATGTTGTGTAGAGTTTTTTCCCCCCCCTCCTTTCCTTTCTATCTCTCACTCCCCATCAATCTGTGTTCTAAACATTTTCATGACAACTAGATGAGAACTGCAAATATCCCAGTGAATCCATAAAAATATCCCAGTGAATCCATAATATATGGATTTAAAAATAATATCATACCAGTGCTAAATTGTCCTTTATTGGTCAGCCATTCCCTCTCTTCTGCAAAGAGCACTAGAAAGGTCAGGGAGATATGGAGAGAAGGCATGGGAACATCAACCCGTACTGAATATTACAAAGCATAGCAAAGTTTTAAATAAAGAGGCTTACTCTTTTCACTGCACCAACAAAACATTATATTATACAAGATTTGTAGTTATTCATAATTTGTTTATTGTATTATTATAGTTTGTACAGCAATAACACTGTCCTAAATACTTCATAGACGGACACTATAATCCTTCTGCCCCTTCTATGCTCTCTCTCCTTTAGGCAGGTCCGCAGGGTTATGTGAAAGTCCATATCTAGTGCAGTAACATATTGTGTCTGCATAGCAGAATATTTGTCCTGAATTCCTCATGGTCTGCCAGGGTCACTGCACTGCCATGAAATTCTGCCCTCTGCTTTTGCGGTGTGATTTGTGGTATAAGGGTGCTATTCAATAATGAGGTAAGGTTACTTCATCTTCTTTCACTGGAGTGAATGACCCTGGCTTTAGTGGAGCTACACTGATTCACAACAGTTGAGGATGGCCCTTGTCCTTCCCTTCAAATGCCATCTTTCCCTCCGTACGTATCTGATCCAGCCTCTTCGTCCCCTCGCCTTTCTACTCCACCAGTGATGCCAGCCTCAATGTCCTGTTCATCCATTTCCACAACAAACATCTCTGTGCCTCCTATCATGAAGCCCCTTACTCCTGGAATAAACTCTTTTTTCTCTCATCTGCCAAGCTACTTCCTTCTCTTTTAAATCCTTAATGAAGAAAAAAAAACCTACTTATTTTGTACTGTCTACAATAAATGGCTTAATTATATCCGCTCTTTCATATGTTTATTTTATGTATAGTATGCTGACAAATTGAAGAGGGCTCAGAGAAGAGCCACAGGAATGATTAATGGATTGGAAAACATGCCTTTATAGTGACAGACTCAAAGAGCTCAATCTATTTAGTTTAACAAAGAGAAGGTTCAGGGGTGATTTGATTACAGTCCAGAAGCACTACACAGGGAACCAATTAATTAATAATGGGCTTTTCAGTCTAATAGACATAGAATCATAGAATATCAGGGTTGGAAGGGACCCCAGAAGGTCATCTAGTCCAACCCCCTGCTCGAAGCAGGACCAATTCCCAGTTAAATCATCCCAGCCAGGGCTTTGTCAAGCCTGACCTTAAAAACCTCTAAGGAAGGAGATTCTACCACCTCCCTAGGTAACGCATTCCAGTGTTTCACCACCCTCTTAGTGAAAAAGTTTTTCCTAATATCCAATCTAAACCTCCCCCACTGCAACTTGAGACCATTACTCCTCGTTCTGTCATCTGCTACCATTGAGAACAGTCTAGAGCCATCCTCTTTGGAACCCCCTTTCAGGTAGTTGAAAGCAGCTATCAAATCCCCCCTCATTCTTCTCTTCTGCAGGCTAAACAATCCCAGCTCCCTCAGCCTCTCCTCATAACTCATGTGTTCCAGTCCCCTAATCATTTTTGTTGCCCTTCGCTGGACTCTCTCCAATTTATCCACATCCTTCTTGAAGTGTGGGGCCCAAAACTGGACACAGTACTCCAGATGAGGCCTCACCAATGTCGAATAGAGGGGGACGATCACGTCCCTCGATCTGCTCGCTATGCCCCTACTTATACATCCCAAAATGCCATTGGCCTTCTTGGCAACAAGGGCACACTGCTGACTCATATCCAGCTTCTCGTCCACTGTCACCCCTAGGTCCTTTTCCGCAGAACTGCTGCCTAGCCATTCGGTCCCTAGTCTGTAGCTGTGCATTGGGTTCTTCCATCCTAAGTGCAGGACCCTGCACTTATCCTTATTGAACCTCATCAGATTTCTTTTGGCCCAATCCTCCAATTTGTCTAGGTCTTTCTGTATCCTATCCCTCCCCTCCAGCGTATCTACCACTCCTCCCAGTTTAGTATCATCCGCAAATTTGCTGAGAGTGCAATCCACATCATCCTCCAGATTATTTATGAAGATATTGAACAAAACCGGCCCCAGGACCGACCCTTGGGGCACTCCACTTGATACCGGCTGCCAACTAGATATGGAGCCATTGATCACTACCCGTTGAGCCCGACAATCTAGCCAGCTTTCTACCCACCTTGTAGTGCATTCATCCAGCCCATACTTCCTTAACTTGCTGACAAGAATACTGTGGGAGACCGTGTCAAAAGCTTTGCTAAAGTCAAGAAACAGACAAACAGACAAGAGACAAACGTATAACAAGGTCCAATGAGTGGAAGTTGAAGCTAACCAATTTCAGACTGGAAACAAAGTTTAAATTTTTAACAGTGAGGGTAATTAATCACTGGAATGATTTACCAAGAGTCATAGTGGAGTCTCCATTGCTGCCAATTTTTAAATCAAGATTGGATGCTTATATAAAAGATCTGTTCTAGTTCATCAAACAGGAATTAATTCAGGGATAGCTTATGTTCTGTGTTATGCAGGAAGTCAGACTAGATGATGAGAGTGGTCCTTCTGGTCTTATCTATAAAGCTATATCAAATAGCAACAACTAACAGAACCACCAAGCTGCTCACATGGATATTCTGAGTAATCACAGTGAATGGAATCTGTCTCTCCCCTTCTTGTGTTAGCAATGTTGGGACCCCCAGTATAAATGGGCCACCAGTTGCCAATACCATTTCAGCCTTGTATCATCTAACTGTGCTGGCAATAATCTATGACGAAATGCTCAAAACACCTATTCTGCCTTGATTTAGAAAGAGCCTCACTCTACTCAACTTGCCTGCAAGCAAGTGGTGAAAATGTAGGTTCATACATTTCTGTCACAACTCATGAATCTCAAATCCAGGCCCACAAAATTCATGGGAAGGGCCATGCTTCAATCATCTACCTGGCAGCCTGCTGGTAACAGCTTACCTGAGACCCATGAAGACCAGCCCCAGTGTGAGGCTCCACCTCTGATGTCCAATTGACAGTATCCAGAGCAGTTGATTGGTCTGACTTAAGCCAGCAGTAGGAACAGAAAGCTGTCTGAACAACTGGACTCTACCCTGTTTTGGACTGTGTGCTTCCTGTAACCTGCTCCTGCTTCCCCGGCTTGCTCTCCTAGCATTCAGATCTGGCCTGACTCCTGGCGCTGGAATTGTGGTTCCTGGCTTCTGAATCATCTCCTGCTTCTGACCTCCCGGTATCCCAACCCAGCTGAATCTTGACTCCTCTCTCATGACTGTGGACTCTGGCTCTGATTACTAGGTCTGGCCACCCACAACCCAGCTGTGACAATTTCCTGTTTTAGTTTTATTTGTTTCCCCAATCAATAGTACATGAGTTCAAAAACTCATTAACAAAAGTGTTTTGTCTAATGCACAATGTTCTAACATACATTTCAGAGTAACAGCCGTGTTAGTCTGTATTCTATTACCAGCAGGAGAGTGAGTTTGTGTGTGTATGGGGGTGGGGGGGGTGAGAAAACCTGGATTTGTGCTGGAAATGGCCCACCTTGATTATCATGCACATTGTAGGGAGAGTGGTCACTTTGGATAAGCTATTACCAGCAGGAGAGTGAGTTTGTGTGTGTGTGTTTGGGGGAGGGGGGTGAGAAAACCTGGATTTGTGCTGGAAATGGCCCACCTTGATTTTCATACACATTGTAAGGAGAGTGGTCACTTTGGATAAGCTATTACCAGCAGGAGAGTGAGTTTGTGTGTGTGTGTGTATGGGGGTGGGGGGGTAAGAAAACCTGGATTTGTGCTGGAAATGGCCCACCTTGATTTTCATACACATTGTAAGGAGAGTGGGCACTTTGGATAAGCAATTACCAGCAGGAGAGTGAGTTTGTGTGTGTAGTTTTTGAAAAAGGGTGGGGGGGTGAGAAAACCTGGATTTGTGCTGGAAATGGCCCAACTTGATTTTCATACACATTGTAAGGAGAGTGGTCACTTTGGATAAGCTATTACCAGCGGGAGAGTGAGTTTGTGTGTGGGGGGGCGGAGGGTGAGAAAACCTGGATTTGTGCTGGAAATGGCCCAACTTGATTATCATACACATTGTAAGGAGAGTGATCACTTTAGATAAGCTATTACCCGCAGGAGAGTGGGGTGGGAGGAGGTATTGTTTCATGGTCTCTGTGTATATAATGTCTTCTGCAGTTTCCACAGTATGCATCCGATGAAGTAGCTCACGAAAGCTTATGCTCAAATAAATTGGTTAGTCTCTAAGGTGCCACAAGTACTCCTTTTCTTCTAACATACATTGTACACACAGATATATGCCCTGAGCATGGCAAGAGATCTTACGCAGACATATAGGTCCCCTATAGTATCCTACACAGACATAAAACATGAGACAAATTTACTGAGCCAAGAAATACAGGAGTCAGGAGTATGGCCTAACTTGTTGATACTAAATAATTGGTTAATTATTAGTAATACAGATCAGTCTGAACCAAATGTTCTAATCTGAGCAACACTGAACTTTAAAGCAGAATTAAAATTGGTAACAAACCCCAATCTGAATTTTGTGATTAGGATTTACCTCTGCAATATCTCAAATGGGCACGCAAAATCCAAACACTGCCAAACTTTGAGGTTATTCAAAATCTGTACCTGAACCTGGATAAAGTGTGGTTCTGCCTCATTTCCAATTATTATTGTTAGGAGTTACGAGAGACAAGGTTATGCCCATATTTAGAAAGACTGTGGTGCCCTCTGATGTTTATTTTTTGAAACTACCCAGAGAGATATATTTAATATGTTTGCTCACTTTAGAAACTAAGCTCAGTTACCAATGTCTCTGAGTACATATATTGTTAAACACAACCCTTTTTTTTTTGTTTGTTTTGTTTTTTTAAAAACAAGCAGTCATTCCGACACACCAGACTCTGACATTTAAATCTGGGAATTGTTTGCTGTGATTCCTAATCTGATTTCAGTTGTAGTTGCTAATGGAGAGAAAAAAGGCCTCCCAAATTCACCTCTGCCTCAGTCAAAAGTGAACCCTGACCTCAAACTACAGGAGGT